TAGGGAATGTCTGGAATTCTATCATTTACCTCCGAAGAAAAAAAAAGTGCTTTTTAATGGCACTACCCAATGCACACATTTGAGAGGTTTTATGGTGCTTTCTTCTAGGAAGAGTAATGTTTTGGAAGATAACAGGTGGTTCAGGCATAAGTCGCATCCATTCTCCTGAGCCAGTCTTAAATGTTTTTAATCCTTTTTTATAAAGTAACTGATTCCTTGAGGGGCAAGACAAACACGGCAGATGACAATATTGTTTAAGAAAGGGTACCACAAAAGAACATCAGTTCAGAAACAGGAAATTCTTTTGAAGACCCAAACTGTCATGTCAACCAACCTCCATACAAGATGTTTTCTGTAGAATCAAGGCATATTGGCAAGTAAGAATGACGGTTATGGTGTTCCTTATATTCTTGTACACACAAACACTGACGAAGATCCCACAGCTTGACCTGGATCAACAAGAAAATGGGGAAAATAGAAAAATGATTGGACTATGATATTTGCAAGAATTTTGCTTCAATGATAGTGTCCTCAATTCAACCCAATTACAACTGGCAAATGTATTACTGTTCAGACTGTCCTTTGTTCTGTCTGTTTTGCTGTGAATGATGGTTTTAGGTTTTATTTATTTCATACATCTCGTGGCCTGACAGCCAAATTACACGTATATTACAATAAAAATGATAAAAGGACATCAATACGATAAAATACATCATTATAAGAACTATACACCAACAAAAATGTAAAAAATGAAAACTAACATGACAGTCAACGCTGTAGATGGATTAAAAGTGGTTGTACAAGAGCACACAAAAATAAGCGAGGCAGCCAGTAAACATCGACCTTGTATATGAATGATATTTTTTATTTAATCACTTGACTGAAATCTTGCAAAAAAGAACTTGATCATATGATGTGCTTTGAATGTTGTTGCAGTGCCTAGAATAACATGTCTTATGGATGCTGATAACTTGCAATTAAAACCACTTCACTTTATGGGTATTACCGTACTCCTGACCAAAGCTTTACTTTATGAGTGGATCAGGGGTCAAAGGTCATGCTTCATACCTGTCCACTCATATCACTGGCCACGAGGTAGTTTTCATCCTTGAGGAGTCTGACGGAACATACAGCCACTTTCTGTCGCAGTCTCAGATTGATGTCTGACCTTGTCTCAGTCACAGATCGAAGGTCGCAACCCAGTATCTCCCCACGGCGTGTACCATTGTAGAGTACAGGATTCTGGGAAGGTAAAAACAACTGGGCTACATATAGATATTTCAAGATCAAACAAGTGCTCGCAAAGTATTGTGTTCACATTTTCATGTTTTTGGCATAGTGGTCTTGATCATGATTCAAAAGCATGAAAAAAAATCTCGTGTGAGCCATGCAAAGTTGTCATTCATGCCCAGCAAGGTATCTTAGTTTTAAACATCTGAGGTTGAACATTTAATCACTACACTTTTAATGTTTGAGAAAAATGAAAAGTTGATCATTTCTCACTGGTCCATGCAACACACCAACTCCCTAGTTCAAGTTAACATTGCGAGCTCTGATTTGAATTTATTTTCTATTTCGTCTTCTAAGATTAGGAGCCTGAGGTTTGATTTGCAGAGGGGCTCTTGGGGGCCCAAGTTTTAGGGTCAGGTGAGAAAACTCAGTGGGATTAATCATACCTGCCAACATTACAAGATTTTCTGCCAACTACAAGCAGGGACGGCACAATGAGCAAGGGCCAAGACACAGGCCCTTCAACATCCTCCCAGTACTAGTTACAAATAAGAACTGTGAATGAACCCTACCTTTGTGGCAAAGACTTGAGCAAGTACATCACTGTGGTTGGTGAAAACTTTCCTCTTCTCTGCAGAGATTGTGTCCACTACTAAGGCCTTCTTATTGGAACCTATGCCAACAAACGTTTCTTTTATCAACCAATTCCACATTCTCTTAATCATGCCGCTAATGATAAACTTCATCTGCGGCAGGGTTGGAATTCAACAACTTAGAAGTGATAATAAAGAAAGTGTTTACATTACACAGTAACAGCAGCATCTTCACGTCATAAATATTTACCTCAGCCCTGGATATGATGACCAAAACATGATCTTAGCAATGGGCTAGGCCAGCCACTTTTCCTGAGAATGATTCAAGTAAACCATCGGCAATGGGTGCCTTCGAGACTTTTCCCAACTTCAATATACTTTGCAGTTCAACATTTGTAGCATTTTGTGTTTGTTAACAAAGCTAGCCTCCCCTACTTTGAGACCATTTGTCATCATCATAGTTATCAGGAAAAACAGTCCACTAAAAAGAGATCCTGTGATTAAGACTTTTTTTTTGCTTTGTTGCAAGTCACTGGATAGAGGAGTCCGTGGTTAACATTTGTTGGTAGCATGCTTTCACATTCGCTAGATCCTACTTGAATGTGCCGTGATCATATCCCCAGATTGGCCCGCACGTACCGCTCAGACGGCATTTGAAAGTTAACACTGCCAAGAATCCCAGAATTCTCTTGAAGTCTTTACCTATGCTTAAATAGCCAGGAATCAGAGGATTTGGGCTCCAAGCACATGTCCATGCTGACTCATGGTTACTTTCATAGCTGTAGGTGATGTGAATATGGTCATCTACAAAGAAAATACAGTCCTTATTTAGCATCATCCTTTTACAACTGACTACATGATTAGCGATTTATTGGATTCAAACCTGTATACATGTACTTTGAAATGAAATCCGAGCTAAGCAATCTAGCTTCATTTTCTTAACCTTCTGTCTAATTTCTTTGTGATATTTGGGAAACAATGACTTGGTAAAAAGGGAGCATGTTGATCATGGATTTGCAGTCTATGATGACTGATGTGTAAAACGTTGAAACCAACCAGTGCTGAAACAAGTGCTTTAAATGATTTTGTTCCAATTTATTTTCACAAGAAAAGAAATCAATTTTTTCTTCCAAGAACTTTCTTAATGAACGTCTTCAATAACTACCTTTAAGCAGAGGGGTGATACCGTACTTACTGCACTACTTGGCAAGACCAATCATCACTTCAGATCAAGTCTAACATTTTTCAGTGATCTTCGAAAGTTATTTTTTTCCTTCCCATTGCTTTCTCAAGAAGACTTGAACATTTTTTTTAAATCTAAGATCCAAGCAGACAGGGCAGCCCTTCAGTGTTGCTCTACAGTCTAATCAAGTGACACCCACTACCCAGAGGGTGGGTAAGGGTTGTTAACTTCACTCAAGTAATGGTCATGGACATACACGCTGGTTAAATGTCTACTCTACCAGCAGGGTATGACCAATTACAAAATTCGCTTCAACATTACGAGTGTAAGATGCACGTAGTGATTCTTTGACAGCCATGGTGTCTCCTTGATGAGACAACAGACAAGATGTCCAGCATGTGGACTTTCTTACCTTCTTCAGTTGGACACTTCATTAGCTGAATCAGATTCATTGGACCTCCACTAAGTGAGTAGCTGATTGGCTAGAGGTCAAGGAACTTAGTAGGGTTAACATTCTTCAACCAACTAAGTAGTAGATCTGTTAAAATGACCAGGATTCGCTCTACAGCCACAAATATTTAACATACATTGTATGGGCCAACTGGTTTCAGCTGCAGAAGATATTAATCTCACATATTTATTCTCAGTTGCTAAGCACCTGAGATGAGATGATCACTCGATACAAGCGAAGAGCAGATAGAATCAGTATACATTCTTAATTCAACACAGGAATCTCCTCTTTCCCAAACATGATACACTGACTTGATATCGTTTACCAATATGAACTGGATAATAGAGGATATTTCCTTGATTTTGATAGCTGTACAATTCTAATGACATTACTGAAGGATACATCACTTGTAGGTCTTCAGAGTCCTCAGTAGAAACCCAGGATGCACTTGTGATCTGAAAAACACATTCAATGTTCAATTACACTGCTCAGGAACTCTGGCCGTGCCTAAAACAGGCTTAGAGCTATGGCTAGTTCATGGTCTGCCCGTCTCTGTGTATTTCCAATGGAGTAAAGACTGCATGTAGACCTAGCTCTAGATAACAGGTTCAGATGCAGCCTTGGACACACAGACAATCCACTTAGGAACTGCTAGCATATAATTTCAGGAATTAGATGGAAATGCCTCCCTTAAGCTGCACACATATACCAACACTAGTTTACCCCTACTACAGTCTCCTACCCACCCTAAACATTTACCCTTGTGTAAACATGAAAAGGCACTTCCAATCACTTTGGCTTTGCATGGGGGAAATGTTTGGCCCTTACATGAACATCTATGTTGGTGTATGGGCAAAGCCTTCTATAAAAAGGTACTTTGGTAACAAACATACTTTCCTCCGAGTTACTATCATTGGGTTGTATTAGCACTTAACTGGTTGATGCATACAATTTCTCAATTAATGAACTTTTGGGTGCTAGGGAAGACTGTCCCTATACCAGATAAACTACTCCTTGCCTTTTCACTGCCATTGTAACTCTGAATAACTGTGGAGGCAGAAACATGTATCAGTTCTTACCTTTGTATTTCTGTTACTGATGATATTAAGGACCCTCCAGTTGGATAAGGTCATCATTCTTGGCTTTGAACGATCACACGTAATAGTGCCTTGCCACATCCTGTCAATAACGAGTCGATCATTTCGCAAAGCAACTAGATCCTAAATGAGTGATTTGTCTCCATGTGCGAGTTCATTTGTAAAAAAAAAGATTGGGACCTGTGACCTGAGTGACCTCTTGAATAGGCCTTATCTGGCTTTATGTAGAAGATAAAGAAGACATGAAGCGACCAACAATTTAGGGCTGGAAGACTTAAAGCCTGTTTGTTTCATGCAGATCCAGATCATGATCAGTGATCCAACACTGGTTCACCGACACTGGTTCACCGACACCAGAAACCGCCAAATGGATTGTGTGGAACAGCTTTTGAATCATTGATTGAGATTAAGATCTGTGTGAAACAAACAGGCCCTTGGTTGTTACAGTTCTGGTAAAGCAGTTTGGAGTTTGCAGATTTAAATTTTTAAGTTTAATTTCTTACACAGTTTTTATCACTGATAATATTGTATTTTATTGATACTTTTTTTCATTTGTTCATACTTTTTGACATTTTTTCCGCTGCAAAGTTGACTCTTTTGGAGCATAAGATGTCAAGTCAGGAACTGACAACAGAAGTAACTAACCTGCTAAGGCAATCATCTGACAGGACCATCAGGATATTTCGAAGGTTACAATCCACCTGTACGTCAAAAGACAACAGCATACAACAGCGTAGCCAACTGTGACCATGACGTGGATTAATAAATATTTCAAGTACTGGAGAAACAAATTTATGTATCTCCTTACCTGTAAAAAACTAATATCTCCCGATTCCTGATCAAAGTACCGGTCAGGGAAATTGTCAAGTTTTCTTGGGGTCAGATTGAAGTTACTGACCGCCTGTTCCTGGGCATATCTATGAGATGAAAGGATAAACCATGATGTTATCTTTATGTTCTGGTTATATCCAATCCGAGCATTAGGAATGACTGTACACTCCACGGGACGTTAGTAATGGCAGAAAGCACGGTAGTAGCTTTTCAAATTAAATGTCACAGGTCAGTCATTTTGAGCAATTTGCCAGCAAGATGTAAGGAAAATTTTGGATCAAATACAGGGTGGTTCTCAGAATTTATGTGAAGAAAACCAGCCTTTTGAGAGTTAGTCCTGGTTTTGTTGATTCTAGATGACATAATTATTACGTAGGCAAAATCAGGTAAGTTTGACAAAGGCAAGACGCAAACAATGGCTAAATGGTCTGTGGTGAATGCAGTTTTCTACGCAGGGAGACTTGAAGAACAACATTCACATTTGCTTATATTTAATAATAAATCATCTTGAGTATTGACTGATATTCTTAATTGTCTCACTTCCTGTATCAATTTTTGTCATTATCTTGACTGATAAAGAGGTTTTTCAAGTCAATAGACCCTGCCAACAGCAGCAATAGTATCATACATGTACCTTGTGAACTGTCTTGAGGTAAGTTGACCATTTTGGAGCCTTCTTTGAAGAGGACAGAGTGAGAAATTCTGCTTATTCTGTACACGTATACCCAGACATGAGAAAACCACACAACGTCAAAAGTTCGTGTAAATTAAAACAGATAATGCTCTCCACAGATGATTAAGAAAGTAAATCCTTCAGCCACTGCCTAAGATCACAAATTCTTTGATTATAATCATAAGCAAGATGGTCACCTACTGTTCATAAATGCTAAGCAAGATGCAGAGATGATGCATTTATACTTATACATTTCTCCCTTTAAGAGTTGTTTACTGCCTGTGACTGCCATTTATACTTTTACATTTCTCCCTTTAAGAGTTGTTTACTGCCTGTAACTGCCATTATCTCATTTCATACTTCTGTCCTCAACAGATTTTAATGATTGGCATCTATTGATGCTTCCTCTTGAAAATTCACCGTTTTGATTAATCTTATAAGCTACGTGTACGTAGTAAGTAGTTAAGATAACAAATCACAAATTTTCAAACACTTATAAATCTACAATGAGGAAGGGAGGGTTAGTTACTATCTATTGACTTTTGTCAGGACTGTGACTGTACCTGTGGTTTACAGTTTGGAAGATTGTCCTTAAGCATTTCTAGCCTCTTCTTTTCAGCATTTTTTTTGTCTAAATTCTCTCTTGTCAGTGGGTTGAAGTTGTTATGGCCGGCCAACAGACGGAAGTATCGCTTCTTGTCTGGATCATAGTAAAAGCCTGGAATCTGTACACTGGGGTTAAGGTTTATCAGTAATGTTAGAAATCCTTGTTATGCTTGGATTCAAATCTGACGTATTGATTTAAGGAAGACTGCTTGAATTAAAACATTAAGCAATCACTCTATAGTTCAAGTTACTCTACTTGGTAAACAGTTTGCAGCAATTTTTGTATTTTACATTTTGAATTGCCAATATGAATGATTTTGATTGAGTCATTCTAGACAACATTAACTTTGTTTTCAATAGCCAATTCATCTTCTTCACTCTGCAGATGTTTTAGTTCAAAAGTAGACAAGCATACAGGTGTACCATCACTTCCATGTAGCAAATCTAATTTCATGAGATGACAATTGTATTACACTAGCACAGACATGTACTAGTATGTAGTCCTTTAACCATTCCATTCTCAGTTACTGCATGTATATGTACATACATGTAAATTCTTGGGCATTACAAGGATTTGCTTCCCGGCGAAGGGAGGACCTCATCAGGGACAAACTAATAAACCACTCACAGTAGAAGGGAGTTTCATTCATTTTTTTTTTCATGAAAATTGGTGATTTTTATCTCCTTTCAAAAAATTCAATTCATGTTTCCTCTTTTTTCTTTTTTTGTTTTACTTTTTTTAAGTACATCATTTTTGGGGGGCACGCTTGCCCCCTCACAATGCCCATGTGTGTCCATTACTAGCCACAAAGCATCTAAATGAAGAAATCAACGAAGTATCTCAGCTGAAAGGATATCTTTGACAGCTGCATTGTTTGTGGAAGCCGATGTTCCTGAGGTTGACGCATTCTGTCCTGTCTCCATGCCACAACTACCAGCATTCATAGCTCTTCCTGTTTTACACTGATGAGATGTGCAAGCACATGCTGTCCTGTATGCTGCAAGGGAAGATCTCTTGTCACCACCTACATGTATCCTCTGATGGTCAGTCACTGCTGAATGTGAGTGGGTTTTGTTCCCATTACCAACCTTGCCTGTCTTGCAGGATGCATTTTCACTGGTGCAAGCAGACCCTGACTTACAGCCCTAAGTGTCCGATGCCCATCGCAGTCTTGTTCTGTACGACAATCTTGTGTCTCAATGTTGTCATGGTGATGGCTGGCTTGGTCTGAGTTGTGATTGTCCCTGAATTGTCCACAGTCACGGTGGTGACGCTTGTGCTTCCTGGACTTCTGTCTTTTCCATTTCCGCCACCAGTGTCCTTGGTTTTTATGTGGTGTTTTTTCAGACATTCTGGCTGAACCTCGTCAGTGTCATATGTTCACACACTGTAATAAAAGAAGCAGTACAACACAGTGGTGTATCTAGTGGGAAAATAGGGCGGTAAGTCTCCTCCCCCTCCTCGGACATGTTTGAATTTTTTTTTAAGGAAATGAAATCACCAGCATTGTAGACAGAGTACTGCCCCAATTCTTTGGGGGGGGATGCATTTTGTGTGGATGAGAAAAATAAAGTTATTTTGCCCCAAATAAATTTTGTCCCAATACCTAACACCTAGATACATGCCACTGATACAATGGTTGCTGGGTATTATTGTAAAGGAAATGATGTCAGGCTTAATTTTAACATGGTACGGTAGCTCCAATTCCAAATTGGCAAACTAGTCACAGAGCTTTTTAGGAGCTTGCTTTTCCAGTTACCTGGCTATGCAGGGAGGAATAAGAACAAATTCCTCCATGGTCTGTGCAAGCAAAAGTCATGAAAATGGACTACAGATCGGGAGTTTTGTTTATTCACCTTATATCCTCATCATAATGGTGAAATTTTTGAGCATTTTCGCAACACAGCTCCTATCTTTTCCTTGTTTTCCTGTCACCCACACGACAGCCATGCTGTGATTGGCCTGAATGCTTCCATTCCAATGATCATAGCTTGGCTTTCATTTTGATGGGGTCAGGAAACCGCAGGTGTGCTACGATTGGTCAAGCTGCCGTGCAGCTGACAGTAATTGAGAGTACGTGCTACTGAGTTTCTGCTACTGAGTGTGGATGGGCAAAATGCTCAAGAATTTCACCATTTTAATGATGACAAGGTGAATTAACCTCCCCATCAGACATCAAACGTCACCAAGATAAAAGGCAAGTATGAATTTTTGTTCCACAAATAGCTGTGTAAGTTGGCACAATCAAAACGGCAAAATAAGTTTATGCGATTTTGCACATGATGAAGCTCTCTGTAAATAGTCCTTACGCTGAAAAAGTTACCAAAAAACCCCCCCAAAAAAACAACGTACAGTTCTAGACTGAAATTGCGGTGGTGTATGGTGGTGGTGGTATCCTGAGTTAGAGATGCGTTGACGACGAACTTCATATTTCTGGGGGTAAAATCGCCGGAAAATCTTTTGCACATCACTGCACACGTTTTCGCCCCTGTGGATGACTGCACTATCTCAGTCCCCCTTTGTAGGGCCCAGTATTTCTGCTTTTTTTCAAGCGAACCCCTTGTTCAAGTTGTTGATTATATCACGTACGGTAGTAATCGCCTGTCATGATCATGTACAGGTGTACATGTACACGTACATGTACACGTATGCCAATGCACACAGCATGCAGCGCATGCAGTGATCGATACACGTCATTGCCTTTAAATTATAAGGCGCCCTCTATTTCCCAAAGGACGTAAACCGTAACTGTAGTCTAGCTTCCAGACGAATATGCCACAAAGAGTATAATTCATTATGATTTTCAGACTAATTCAAATATTTTTGCAGAGCTGGAGCGGTTTGTTCAAAACTTTTTGTGGCAGTTGCATCGGCATTATCGGGATCGTCCAAAAAAGGTAAAAGAGGCGAAGATTCTGAAACATGAATATAAAAATGTGCGATTTTGTCATTAATATAACCATAGGGATTACATATTATCGTTTACAATACGATTGATTCAGTAAGTACAGATTATACGATAAAAATGGCACATTTTTGACGTGATGTTCATCAGTCAATTCTAGTCATGCTAGTCGTGTCATGGTCACAGTGACATGCATGTGTCGGACATCAGCTAGCCTAACAACACTCCAAAAAAGTTTTAACATTATGCCGGGGAAAGAGTTCCATATACGGACAACACTTGATGCCCCTGTGCTGAAACCTAGTATGAGACTTGTCTGAAAAAAAAATCTGAGTTTTTATGTGAATGCTTCGGAATTTTCCTTGCAAAATTTCACTGTTTGGGACATTTCTGTCCCTGTTGCACCGTTTGCACGGTCGGGTTGGTTGAGAGTCGAGTTGGTCGAGAGTCGAGTTGGCAAACGGTCGAGTTGACCTGACACCAATATCATGTATATGGAACTCCCCACGCCAGCCGCATGGGTGATTTTGCATGATGTTAGAGAGGCACTGTGAGAAGGAAAAGCAATATTTGCCCATTTTTCCTGTTGAAACAAGTGTTTCCAAGGTCAGATAGTGCCACAGGCAATTTTCACCATCATTTCTGGAGGTGACATGGTTAATTTTTTGTGAGGTGGTCCATGAAAAATCATTCTTTGTTTAACTCTTTTAAGGCCAAGTCACATTTTAGTTTATAAATTTACATGTACGTATAGGACCTAGTATTTTAGTAAGGATTCATTTGGTGTATAAAAATCAGAGGGGGAGGGAATTTATAGCTTCAAACAAATTTAAGAGGCCCTTGGAGACCCCTTATTTACACAATATTTTTTAAATAGATAATTTACATGTGATTGGACTATCTCCAAACTGCAAGAATGTACCCCGGATGAATGACACACTTTGAATTTTATTTTTAATTCTTTGTCCAATGATATTAATTTTGTTAAAAAACCTGAAACTGAAACTTGTTGGACTTCCTGTCAAAACAAACAAGGTGGATGTTGGGAGAACTTTTTTCATTCTAACACCACTTCCTTGGTTTTGTACAGTTTATATGGAGACTTGACATTAGCAGGCTAGTAAGAAGGCCTACAGTGTAGTGTGACACGTACATGTAGGCTATGTTCTCCAACAAAACTGGTGGGAACACGTATTTTTACCGTATACTGGGCTCTTTATTTTAAACTGCTATTTTACCGACAGCCCACATGTATATGCAATTAATTTTTTGGGACTGTGGAAATTTTACCCTGAACATAAGAAGAAAATTTATGTGGTTAACACATAGTCATTTAATGTTGTGATGTTGTATTCACAGTTATAAATTGGAAAGAACAGATTCAGACTACATCATTGTAGGTGCACTTTTGGAACTTACATGTATTTCCCTTAAAAAAGACAGATCCAATATTGGACCATCCCAATTTTTGAGTGCCATAAACTCCCATAAATTTATCCCCGTTTTAAACCTTTTCCCCTTATTAAGGCTCTGAACCTTTTTTCCTCACTGATATCCCTCAACATTTAAACTTGTGCCTCTTGTTAAACTGGTTGGTGTTACAATACACAACATTGTGAAGGGCAAATATGGAATCAAATTTGGAAAAGAAAATGAAATAGCCCATACTAAAACTTGGAATTTAATTTAAACAATCCAGGAATGAGTGTAACTTTTTTGAGAGAAGGGAAACGATTCAAAAGGGACACAAATCAGAGTTGAACCTGGCAACCTGTCAGGCACAGCACAGTGTCATAGTCTTGATTCCAAAGTGCTACATGTACATGTACATACATGTATGTACTTGCATAAATACATGTACCAGGACTATCCAAGTTAACATAGAGCGTAATACGTGTACATGTATGCTGTGCTGTGTATGCTAGCTTTATCAGTTCACTGCATACAAAAGATTCAATCCAAACCAACTTGGAAACATTTGACTGCTTTAAATTGCTGTACATGTCTTTTCTACAAATTCACAGAAATGTTGAAGTGACTTTATGGAGGGGTTTGTAGGAATGCAACATTCTTTCCAATCTTCCCATTGTTGGCCAGTCTGTGAGAAGAGGCCAAAATAGAGGGCCAGTGTGGCTTGTGTGACTCCTAGACCCTGAAACGTGGAAGTTAAAAGAATGTTTGTGCTTCAACATGACCCTTTATTCTCCCCACCCATTCACCCACCAACCACAGAGTCATGGTAATTTGTGTCTCTACACAGGCAGAACTACTGTACATGTAATTTAGCTTTGTGACAGAGATCACCTCTTCTCCTCAACTGTGTAACTATGAGTGGCATCAGAATTGTCCCAGAGGGAGAGAACCTTGGGTGAGTAGTGCCATTGTCCTCATTTCTGGTACAAAGTACTTTGGACAGATTTCACAAACTGACAATATCACAAGCGAATTTTCCTGGGTTATTTCAAAATCATTTAGAATGGGACCATTAATCAATGTTACCCTTGATAGTGTTGAAATGGATAAAATGTGTTTATGATACGGATACACGTAGTTCCAGCTCTCTTTTTGCTCTGTTTTTCAAGTTAGCCAGCTTTGCTTTACAGTGATGTCCCTGGACACAACATGTACACTCTTCGTCTGTGTGTACAATTTGTACATGTATTAATCCAAACACTTCAAACCCTTCATCAACAAGAGGTTTTAGAAGCTTTTACAGATTGAGCAAGGCTGAGCTAAGTTAATACGTCTTTACATACATGTACATGTATGTATGGACCCAACCTGACATTGGATCTTTTAAATCTCACCTCAAAACTTACCTGTAGGCTGTTTGTTCATACTTACCAGTAGATTTCCCTAATAGCACAGTGAATAGCTTTCATGTGCCAAATACTTGCACTTTATAAGTTATTATTATTCTATTATAATGATAATTATTATTATTATTACTGTATGTACATGTAGAGTACTCGTACAGGAAGCTTCAAGATGTTAGAAATGGGCAAATGTTGATATCATATGAAGAAAAATGGGGAGGATATTGCTTAATTGAGTCAATAAACCTTCAGGGGGGGCATAAATGTAATTGATGTTTGGATGGCAGGTTGAATTTCCAGTTTCTTTCTTAAATAGATGAGTAAATTTGTCTCCATGGTGCTGCATCTCATGAATCTCTTCATTTCATTTTTTTTTCTGTTGCACAGAGTGGAGACAAGGCCCAGGCCAAAAAAGAGACGGTCTTCGGTAAGTTTGTATTCCCACCTGTAGTTTATATGTACCTGCCTTGTCTAGAACCTCTGCTTCATCCAATTACACCCAACAATCAGTAAGGTGGGTAGCTTATTTAAAAAACAACGTGACTGACAACAGAGCACGTGTGTGAGTCCGCGTAGGGATGTGTTGATAGGACAGACCTTGAACACGTATTCAAGTGACTTCGGATGTGCTTCATATTGGATATGCGCTGTTGGAATACCAGACTCAGTCATTGTAACATAGAGACGTCTGTATAACATGTATATCTCAGGCGAAAACAGTGTCAGATTCAAGTCCACCACTCACACAGGACACCAAGACTCATATCTCAGAGGGGACTTGATGCTTGTTGCATCTTACTGAACAGAGCAATACTCATACACTTGTCTGCAGACCGATATGATCATAATAATGCCAATTTTTATTCTTGTTACAGATTCTGAAGTCACCATCCAGGAATGCCTTGCAAGATTTGGATTCTAACGCAGATGAGCGAGACACCACCAAGTATGATTGAAAGAAGAAAATATCTAATTAAAATCATTTCAAAGTTAAAATCATATATAAGATTTACATTCTTAGTTATAATGCAACTTTGTAAATGTGGTGTTAATAACCTTGACTTTGTCCTAAGATGAATTATTCATAAAGTGTGAATTTGTATTCATGATAACTTTGATCTCCTTTCTTTGCATAGTGTGGCAAAGAAGAAACGCCGTTCTTCCAGAAGAGTCAGCTTTGCTAACACATACCAAGTCCAGTAAGTCCAGATCAATCCTAACCCTAGCACGTATTTATAAATTTATCATTGAAATAGCAAGATAAATGTAGGTATCTGCATTTTGTTTGGAACACTACAGTATTTACAAAAAAAACCCTGCTGACTAAGGACTTGGTTATCAAAATTATGCACGCAAAACTAATTTTTATAAGGTAACAGAAAAAAAATTAAGATCCAAAAGATGTCTTCTATTAATGCACAGGGTTCTCACGGCCT